AATGAATGTAGAAGGTATCACAAGAAAATACAAAATAGTCATTATTCTATATTTTTTTTTATAAGGCCACTTCCAAACACGACGTTTTTTCAAAGCGATAAATAACAAATTAAGCTTAATAGATGTGTGCTTCCAAACCAAACGATTTTTATATGCATACGATTTTTCGATTATTTTAATAACAAACTAGCTTGATTTTTTTTAACGATTAAATGGCGTCTGATACAATTGAAATGAATATGTAATTTTTTTTAACGTTAATATTCAATAAATGAAATGATTTTAGAGGAAATTTTGTATCTGAATTGATAAATTTTGTAGAAGATCATGACGATTTATGGAACCAATCTGATGATAATTATTCTAATAGATTATTAGTAGATGAACTATGGACTTAATGTGCTAAAAAGTAGAACAAGACTTTATATTGAAAATATTGACTATTTTATAATAATAATTTTTAATTAACAGACTTTTTAATTAGATACTATTTATTAGTAAGCATGGAATATGAATTTTAATAATTTATATCTTTATTTAAATAAAATTATTTTTTATCCTTTATTATTTACCAGGCTTGATTCATCCCCAAATGTCTGTAAATTAAAATGGAAGAATTTGAGGGATTCATATTTAAAGGAAAAGAGAAAGAGAGAAGAAGTGCATTCAGGGGATGCTGCAAAAGCTAGCACTCCATGGAAATGGTATGATTTACTATCATTTCTTACTACTTCCACCACACCAAGAAAGACACTAAATAATATCACAGATAATATAGAGAATGTAAGACCTGTAAAAAGGGCTAGAGTAACAAAAGACCCAATGGAAAGATATTTTGACAAAATGTTAGAAATTGATAATGATCCAGATAGATTATGGTGCCCATCATTGATGGTGCCTGTCTTTGGTTGATAATGTAAAGAAGGTGCCAAATGAAGTTAAGGACGCCATGAAAAATAATGTGCAAACTCTTATTTATAATTATATAAATAATATTATAGTAGAAAATGTTGATGTTTAAATAGTTATGTATTATATACACATACAAAAGTAATTTATTAATTTATATACACATACAAAAGTAATTTATTAATTTATATACACATACAAAAGTAATTTATTTATTTAATATATAATGTTAAATTATACATATATTTAAGAATTAAAATAGTCTTTAAATAATTCTCTAATTTCTCTTGAATTAGAACTTGAAGCATTTAAAGATCTACTGATCCCTAAATTTTCAGTAATAGGTAAAATATTAGGTGTATATTCAATTTTATCATAATCAATTTTTATCGTAATCAATAATAATATTATGTAATAGAGTAATTGTAGACATAATTTTATCAGCATTTTCAACTGAACACTCTATAGCTTTAGAAAGTAGGGCAAATTTAGCAGTAGCTATGCCAAATGTGCATTCAATGCACATTCTAGCACTACTTAATTTATAATTATAATATTTTTCTTCTGGGCTGGTATTCTTCGTAGGATAAGGTTTCATTAGATAATTTTTTAGTGGGAGGGTTAGATCAGCAATAATTACATGTGGAGCAATGATATTATTTGGCATAGGTTTAGGAGAAGGAATATAAAGTGTTTGACTTTCTAATTCTAAAATAATTAAAAATTATTTATTAACATTAAAAATTTACTTTGATATAAACTACTATTTCTGAAAGTGCCACCATCACTTTGTTTTCCATAAGATCCTACATCTATATATATAAATTTGCAATTACTATCTGCTAAACCAAGTAACACTATAGATTTGAAAGCTTTATAATTATAAAAAAGGGTTCCAGATTTTGCAGGACTTTTTATTCTTATGTGCTTACCATCCAATGAGCCAAGGCAGTTTGGAAATCCATGTTTTTCAAAATATTCTTGGGCAATCTAAAAATATATTTATATCTAAATTTATAATACCTTCTCCCAATGTTCTCTAGTTGGAATTGGCATATGAATATCTTTTAAAATTTTCCATATAGCATCACATACCTCTGGAATGATAGTAGCAATGCAACTTTTGCTTATTCTGCTACTATAAGATAGTTGTGAGTAATTAAGGCCCGTTCTTAAGTATCTTAAATAGTTTGTATATATATTAATAACTAAATATATTACCTTAAAGTAACAAATAATATCTTTTCAAGAGATATTGTTGTTTTTGCATTTGTTTGTTTATTATTTTAGTTTCAATTTTGTTAAGTATATAATAGAAAACATTCCTAGATAATCCAAGATAGTGAAAGAATTGCGAATCATTTAAATTCTCATTTAAATTGATGTAGATCATATACAGATCTCTTTCTTTATAAATTATACTTACTTTTCGTTTTTTTTATAATGTCTCATAATAAAATATCTAGTTATAAGATTCATTTTTAAAAAATCAGCTATAAAATATAAATCGTTGCTGTTTGGAAGTAAAAAATATTGCGAAAAACGTGCTTCGGAAAACGTTTTGAAAAAACGTCGTGTTTGGAAGTGGCCTAATAACAGATAATAATTATATGACATAAAATATTATGATTATTATTTGCTTAAATAAAAATAATATTATCTTTTAAAAAAATTAACTACAAGAGTCGCCAAATATCAAAATAATTATATATATATATTACATACACAACGTCAACATAACAGGATTTTTTACTGGATGCAAACCCATCTCAAAAACCTATACCTACCTACCTAAAAAAATTTTCCCATTATTAATTACACCTTTTTAATTATAATGATACTCCTTTCAGAAATTTTAAAATGAATAACATAAATTATTTTACCTCTACTACCAATATCAAAATTTTGTGAATATAAAGTTCTTTTTTACATAATGAATTCAATTAAAAAGCCCCTCATTTACAATAAATGCATTATTATAGCATTATGAGCTTGCAGAGAATGGTAGAAAGTTTTATTTGAAAAATAATGTCTAATTGTTTGCAATATATAGATTTGGTCGATGGTCTATAATAAAAGTATTAATTTTTACAAAATCTATTCTTAAAGATCTTATCCTTTGAATCCTTTCATTTAGTCACCGCGAAATAAATTAGCCTCGGGTTTCACTTCTAATTATTTGGCTTTAAATTGAATTCTATATCTATTTATGATGTTCCTACCCTATATAAAACTTGCCACATTAGTCCTTAAATTAATTGGAAAATAATAACAACTTTTTGTATATTCAAAAATTAGCTAAAAATGAATGTATATTGATTTTATAATTTAAAATATTTTGATTTTTCACTATTTTGCCTAAGGCGAAAAGAAGGAAATTTTAATAATAAAATAATTTAATGCCACAAGGAAAATAATATTTGTTTATAATAGACCCTAAAATTTTGTAAAAAAGTATTTAAATAAAATATTAGTGTAAATGCTTAAATGGATTCTAATTATTTTATAATTGGGTGCTAATTTTTTAAAAATAGGATACTAATACATTTTTAAAAATTGTTTCTATATTTTGGAAAATGGGGTGTTTTAGAACACAAACACATAATTAGTGACGCATCTACATTAGGAACATGATGAAAATATTTAAATATAATATAGGTGAATATAAACAGATGCCACTCGAAACAGAAATTAAAACTTTATTTAAAATATAACATATAAAACAACCCAAACTAGCAAGATTAAAATAAACCAAATAATTTTCATAAAAAGCACCATATTGGTTTGTCTAATGGATTGCTTTCAAAACAGGGGTAAAATAACGGATAAATTTTAATAAAATATTTTTTTATTTTAGAAAATTCTTTCTTATATATTCTCTTTTCAAATACAAAATTGGCCCTAAGATGATGCACAATTTGGGGAGGAACAAATAAAAAAAATCAGCCAAAGATTCAGTGAAATGGAAAGGATTTCTGGGTGCTATACATTGACCATATGAAAATTTAAAAAAATTCAAGTGGCTATGATTTGAATCTTCGTAGGTAATCGAGCGAATTTAAGAGTTAATAAATTGTTGTTCATAAATATTGTTAGACCTTTACCAAAATATGGAAAAGGAATTATAGGGGGAAATAAAAATTTTCAAAGAAAACCAAAAAAATAGATGCATGGAAAATATTTTAATTTATTATATATTCCTTTTAATATTTGCTTAGATATCGGGTGATAATATATATATCACCTAAAATGTGCATGATGACCTTATCATTATAAGTCATAAAGGCATAAGTTCATTTTTAGTTAAATATAAAATATAATGTATCTTTTTTGTTTTAATTAGAGATCTCTTTCAATAAAATTTAAAAAGTTAAGGAAGGTTTATATAGAGTGGTGGTTAGAAATATTAAAGTTATTAAATAAAATATTAATAAACTTATCTGTTTAATTCACTTGCTTATCCATAATTATTATAAGGGGGGAGGAACTATTAGATTGTTTTTTTTCACCAAAAATTTTACGGAATATTTTTAGGTTAACTTTTTAACAACTTTGGCCTAATTACATTTTTAGAAATATAAATATTTTAATTTTTTTGAGGAAATGTAATACTGTAGAATTTATCATAGTCAGTATTTTTATAAATTATTAACTTATACTTAATTTTTAAAAATAAATATGGTTTAGAATAGCATAATACATTTATTTTATGGAAAGAGTGTAACAAAGTGGATGTTTAGAATTTTTTATTACATATAAATGATACTTATGAAAACTGAGAGATTTTGGAAGGGGGATAGGGAAGTTTCCGCGTTTATTTATAGTTTATACTGCATTTATTAATTTTTTACAAGGATAAATGAATATATATACCAGGCTAAAAGGTTGAGATATAAATTTTGTAATATCGGTTATGACATTTCATTGATATATTTGAAGCTCATAAACATATTAAAATTAAAACATCTTGGCTAATTGCTCTGCTGAATCGAAAAAATGTTCATCAAATAATAAATATCAAACAATTAAATATATTTTTTATCATTTTTGCTTAGTTAGATGAATTTCATTAAACTCTAATTTTGTAAATTAAAATATATTTCTGAGATGAGTAGACGAGGGAAAATCATATGTTATGAATTTAAAAATAAAAGTAATGCCAATTTTTCTTAATAATACCATATCAGCAAAAAATAATGTCTATTGATTCCTTCTCATTATTAAGCGAGTAAGTTTAGATTATTTATATGTAAATTAATTATATGTATAAATATTCATTTAAAAATATTTTCATATGCAAAATACATAAAACATTTAACTTTATACATATTGTTCTATGTATATTTTACAAAGATGATTATGCATTCTAATCATATTTAAAAAAAATAAATCAATTAATAAAGCTGACCTCATATTTATTTAAATATTTTGTAATAATGAAAGTGATTTAGGTTAGCCTACATAATTATATTGCACATTTAAAATATAGTAATAGTTTTGTAATATATATATATATGATTTCAATGCTTATTTACATTTTTTAATTTTTTTGAGATTCTACTTTTTTGATAACTTAAATGACATATTTATAGGAACAAATTTAATTAACTATTTTACCTATTAAATTTGTTTAGAAGGTGTTATCCATATTAAAGCCTCATTTTATTAATTTAAAGGAATGTAAATTCGAAAATCAATATGTAATACCCAATTTGTGCAAATTAAAATGAATAAATTTTTTATAAAATTTGTATCAAAATTATAATTATTTATTTTAATTTAACAGTAATATATTTTATTTTAATGTCTATGAAATAAATTAAGAACCATAGATGCATTTACACAATTTTTGGTCCTTTAAATTTATAAAATGTGGCTATAATATGGATAACATCTTCTACAACAAATTTAATAGGTTTAGGTTCCTGTTGACTACATACAAATAATTTTTGTAATTACAATGTTCAACTTGAAATATTGCTTTTGTGTCATAATGTTTTAACATACTAACCTTATCTAAAAATGCACGCATAAAAAAACTAATTAAAATATTCTAATTTATACTTAATTCAAATCATTAACAATATTTTTCTAATTTTGTTATCAACTTCATTATCATTTTAATCTTAAAAATTATTTATATATGATTTTTTTTAAAAAATAACTAGTTGAGTGTCCATTTCAATTCCTGATTATGAAAAAGCATAAAAATTTTACTAATATTTAAATGCTTTTTTGGTGTCATTAATCTCTTTTTTCCATTTTCCAAATCATGACCATGTGTCATAATGGTTATAGTAAAAATTCCTAAAAGTGGAAAATTGATGATGTAACTAGTCTACTTGGGTGAAAAAATTTGTGGCCATTAAACTAAAAAAAGGATAACTACTTTATGGTAATATATAATTCACTAAATTTTTTCCCCACTTTTTCCAATATCATGACTTAATATAATCAATAAAATTTGGATAAATAATGGAAGAGTATCATATTTGACACATATTTTTATATAAAATGTTATACCAGTCCATAAATGTATTTTACAATCTATTTTTTGAAAGAAAGAAAGAAGTAAGAAAAAAAATAATAAAGAAAGAAAATAACTATTTTTAGTTCATTGTTTCAACTATATATCCAAATGGCACATTAAGTTTATATAGGAGTGGGGCTCTAAATTGTGATTTTCTTAACCCTCTAAAAATTTTTTATAAATTATTATTAATGTTATATATTTTTCCAAATGACACGTGCATAGATGATGATCAATTTATTTTTTATATAAATAAATTTAGTTCTTTAAATGTGATCCTAAGCAATATAGCGATATTCGAAGATATGATAGATCTACTACCCTCAAACTTAAAGGACAAGGCCTCCTTTCTCATGGGTAAACGCAAGCTTATCACCGATGCCAATATTCACTGTGTAAAAATTATTGTTTATAAAATATTTTGCTATAGTAAAAGAGTGTCGAACCATTATTTACGTTTCAGTTCCATTCTTGGTTCTTGTTTAAAATTCTAAAACAATTTATTTTTGGAAAAAATTGTTTGTATTTTTTTTAATTGTCCCATAATAATATAATTTTAAAACTAAAAGCCAAACAAAAATTAAATAAAATAAATTGTATTTCATCATTAAATTAAATAACATACCAAATCTGTGCTATTTATTAATTAAATATTTTAATTTATGCTAATAATTTAAGATTTACAAATATAATTTTAAACTGGTTCGAAATAGTTACAAAAATTTGGTTACAGTTTAGAAAATAATAATCATTCATTATACGTTTTAGTTTGTTTCGACACCTTGGTTAGTATAATAGGCCATAACTTAGATCTAAAAATGATTTATTAATTGGATATCCAATATATTCTCAAGTCACTATATCATATTATATATACCTTTTTTTATTGATCAATCACTATATTACACATTATTATGTTTTTTGATAATTGTAATTTATAAAGGTCATTTATTTTTTTCCCAAAAAAATATCTGAAACAAAGAATATTAAAGTAGCTTAGTTATGGCTGTTTTATTAAAACTATGATACATGGCTAATTTACAAGTCAATTATTTAAAACTTATTCAAATCCAGTATATCAGTAGTGTAGCTAGGATATATTTAGTCCAATCAATGTTTTAAATGAAGTGTATAATAATAGACACCCCAACTCACTTCATGCTTCGACCACTTTTTGACCAATATTTGACAATAATATAAACTGTGTCATTTCAATTTTTTATTAATAGAAGGATAGGAAGAAAGAACTACAAATGGACATAATTTTAATAATCGTATTCTTAATATTCAAGTTTATAAATGTTACATTTAAAATAATAAGCATAAACCGAGTTCATATTATTTGCAAAGAAACTTGAGGAACAAATTTATAAATGTCCGCAGAATGTGAATTGAGCGTATATTCTTTCGATTCAAAAGACTTAAATTTAAAAAATTTGCAGATTATAGTAATTCTTCTTATCTCATTCCGAAAAAATCTGATATCAGCTTTGTTAGAAAAGGAGCCGCCCTGCCCTGGTGCCTCAATAGTTTACATTCAGTTTAAAATAATGGTATTATTCCACGTTTCATAATTCATAAGCTATATGTTTTTTATCCAAAAAACGGTTAATTATTCGGGCGTCTTAGCCATAGAAGGTCAGTCGCAATTGGACGTAACGTAAAGTAAACGGATTAAAAAATTGTAACAAATTCAATTTTAAAAAGTTAAAATTTTATAAAAAATATTAAATAGGCCTAACATCATTTGTAAAATAACTGTCATTAATTCTTATATTTTTATAATTCTACGCGCGCATTTTTATTTTCCATATGCTTCATAAAACAGTTAAAAATAGAAAAATATTTTAATAACCTAAGAAGTACTACAAATAAATTAGATTTAGAAATAAACTTAATGAACTCAAAAATTAAAGATATATATATATGTATGATACTAAATAGACAAATTTCGTAAATAGCGTACTTACGAGATGGATATTGTTTGTTTAAATGTGTTAATTTATTTCTTAATTTCTAACCCTTTAAAATTCATTTCATACTAAGACATGCACCAATTTTAAAATCATTTTTGAAGATGTAGCCGATGATCTTAACGAGGTGCCAAAGAAAAAAACTTGAAATGAAGCAATGATAATTAACTTAATATCACTAATAGATATGATGAAAATTCTAATCAATATGAACATATATTTTATGGTATCAAAATAAAATCTTCAATTGTTTTGTCCTGACATTAGTCGAAGCAATATATAAAATACCAATATCTCCAAAATAATTATTTATTGGAAAAAGGCATAACTTTAATGAGAGTAAATATGAATGCCTTCAAATGATCCCATCAAAAAAATGGAGTAATTTTTAAAATTTGAACATATTCAGCGTAAAACCTAGAAAAACTATGTAAATTTGTATTTTCAATTATTCAGGAAAAATTGTTCCTAAATGCCATTCAATTTATTAGAAGTCGAATGGAAACGTGAAATTTATTTACGTGATACGTGAAATTAAGCGCACTAGTCCTATAATGTCGTATATATATCGAAATATATATACAACAGAGCAACGCTTGGTTCTCTCAAGAAAAAACCCATCTAATTGGGATAGAAGATGGGAACTAATTAAATAATTAAGAGGACCATCCACGTTTTATGGGCAGGCCGCGGTTACCTGTGCGCGTAAGAAGCAAAAGCTCTTACTTAAACGCCCATCGGAAATAAAAAGAGAGATAAAAGCCCATGCCCGATTAAATAAACTTTTTGGTTACTGGAAGGGTAATATTGGCTATTTTAATTTTATTTTAATTTGCGTTGAGAGAGATCTTTACATATATATACTAAAGATACTAAAAGGTAATATAGATTGACTTATATACACCATATGGTATTAATATAATAATATTAAAAGAAAATAAGGTATCAGAACTTACGTATAGGAAAATAAAATCGAATGATCGTCCATGAAGAGTGTAGAGAAAGAAAAAATTGGCTTTAAATATATAGATGAAGTGATGATGGGGACAGGGAGGAAGTAATGATGGGGACAGGGAGGAATGGATAAAGTCACAACGTATTTTCGTGGGTAGAGGTTAGTGGTCATTAAGGTAATTGGCTTTTATTTTTAACAGTTTATTTATCGCGTTTTTATTATTATTTATCTGGGTGAATTGCGTTAGGCTAATATTCATCTTTACGATATCTGTTAGGGTTTTGTTTAGCCAGTACGTTTTGTATTGTAGTAGCTCTTGTTTTTGTATATCGGGAGCCAACTAAGGGCCTCAAATGCTAAATTATTATCCGCTTTCCTCATAATATGAGCAAACAGTTGAACTCTTCTCTTTTTGAGTTGGACCGCTACCGGAGTATGTTTGGATAAACTCCATAGACTTACATTTGAAATGACTCTAGGATATATATATCCATTAATAAGTCTCAGACATCTATTTACAAACACCTGAAGCTTCTTTATCTGGGCCTTGTTGACATCCCACGTATCACTTCCATATAGAAGAATAGGAATAATCATAGAGTTGAAAACTTGTAGTCTGCTCTTAACCGAGATCTCCCTGGTCATCCATAATTTAATATATTTGTAGAACTCTGCTTTCGCGTGTTTCAATCTTAATTCTACCTCATTCTTTATGTGTCCTTTATTATCCAGATTTACTCCAAGGTACTTAAACTCCTTAACCGATCTAATCCCCAATAATTCCGTTGTCCGTACCAGGTTTATCTCTGCCCATGGAGAGGGCATAACGACTGTTTTATTCATGTTTATAGTTAATCCTATCTCTCCACTATACGCTTTAAGTATATCAAGAATACAAGAGGCCTCATCTAGGGATTTAGTAATTATTAATATGTCGTCGGCATAGGAGATTATACGATGTTTCAAGTTTAGGTTGTCGCGACTGGATAAAGTTAAAAGATTAAACGCTCCCAGCGTATCCGCAATTATTTTGTTCATAATGATGTTGAATAGAATTGGAGATAAGACGCATCCTTGCTTAACTCCTTTCCGCACCATGAAGGATGGAGATTGAATATTTTCTACTTTAAAGGTAGCCATCAATGAACTATAGTGGTTACTCAGGATTCTTACTATATTTACATCCACACCACTATCTGTTAGGATTTTCCACAGAATCTCGTGTTTTATGCAATCGAAAGCTTTCCTAAAACCCACGAAGATGAATAGAAAAGGGAGCTTATATCTATAGCATTTCTGTAGAGTGATTTTTAATGCTAGTATGGGTTTCAGGATATTTCTGCCTGGTCTATATGCACAAATATTGTTTGATAACAGGTGGTTTGTAGAATTTAATATACGGTTCCTTAGAAGTACCATGAATACTTTAGAGGTGATAGATGTCAGCGCAATCGCTCTATAGTCGTCAAAAGTAGAAGGATTAGGAACCTTAGGGAAGTTGCAAATGAAGGATAAGTTCCATTCTCTAGGAGTGACACCAGAAACCCGGATCTTGTTGAAGACCATAAGTAAAAACACAGAAATGTAATCAGGAGAGACTTTTAAGTGCTCCGCTTTAATGTTATCCAGTCCCGACCGCTTTGTTGTTCGCTTAGTTTAAGGATAGCCCTCATTGATATACTCCCACAGTTGATAAAATTTGATAATCCTAGGAGGAATTTGGTCGCACTCTGTAAATAGGAAACTAGATGTTCAGATGTATATAACATATACGAATAACTGATCCAACCAGAGCTTACGATGACTAGCTCCTCATGGGTCACATATAATATTGTTATTTATCTTCAGTTATCGGGTGACTTCTAAAGTTCTGAAGATTTGTAGAAATAGCTTTAATTTATTTGTATGCATCGTACACATTTATTGCACTTCATGTCTACTTCGATCTCCTTAGCCTTCTCAGCAACGATATTTGCGCCTATCTGATCTTCACGGTTAGTTCTTTGAATGTTGTTTCCATAACCATCCATTATTCCCTGTGACTACTTAGATGGTGGTCAATTCAGCTTAATGCTTAAGAGCGACCGTAAGCGGGGAAACCCAATCACTGACGGTGTTATGCCTCTAATATTCGTGAAGTCCTATACAAGTAGACAGCAAAGATACATTTTAACAATCTAAAACTCCAACATTTTTCTAAAGTTGAATTTTGATTGCCTTGCAAGAATCTCGCTGAATATTCAATGAGAGTCTGGTAAGACAATCGCGTCCTTGACTAGGGGGAGTTTTAGAGTGGTTTAAAATGTATCTTTAAAATCTAATTGTCTAGGACTACACGACTATCAGTGGCATTACACCGTTAGTGTTTTTGTTTCCTCGCATACGGTCGCTTTTAATCATTAAGCTGAACCTGACCACCATTTTGTGAGTCAGAAATATTAATGGATGGTTATTGCTTTAACATTCA